TTGGTTTGTAGATTGTCTAAAGTGTATTAGACATAGCAAAGGTTTGCTGCAATGTTCATGAGTGCTTATGAACAGGATTTGAGCATTGGATTAGACCCACGCTTGCTGGTATCACTTCATGGAATTCATCTCGAATGATCGCAAGATGATAATATCATATGGCTTAAAACCTAGATATATGGTTTATTGTTTGCAAGTTGGTTGTGCATTGATAATGCGTAAACGCATCAGTGACTTGATGTTATAAAACGCATTGTTGTGCATGATTTGATGAGTGGATGGTAAATGCATATAAGTCGAAGTTTATCCGTTCCTTTTAACCTGAGAGGGTAAAAGCAATATATGAGCCCCTCGATGATTTGGTTTGACTTATGTGTCGGGCCCGGTCAGGACTGAATTGATGTGTTCAATTAAGTTCTATGTCAAACGAATCAGAGATCGAGAAACAAATTGTTGGACAATAAGTATGACTATGTTCCATGTAATTGTCCGCACGATATCTAGAACGGAGGACTATACGATCCCTTATCTAAAGGACAGGTTGGATTAGTGGGAGACTGTTGGATTAGTGTCTAAGCCCGTAACTATATTTGGTATGTACTTGACCCGGTTGTGCATGGTCCTTTTGGGTTGCCTTCACCAGAGCAACTTGACAGGGTGATTTATGAAGAGAGAGAGGTTATTAATTATGGTTTATTAATATATTATATGAATAATATATTAAAGGAGAAATCATATAGTTTAATTAATATTAGACAAGAATTAATTAAGAATTAATTCTGTGGCTAAAAGACATTAATTAAATAACGGGGACTTAAACTGTCAAATGTGTGATAGTTGGATATTGGGCTGAGAAGGCTTATGGACTAGGCATGGACGAAATTAGGGATGTGTCCATCCTAATTTAGGCTATAAGGGCCCTATTCCAGAAGCTTCTTTGGATTGCTTAATGCCTAAGCTGTCCACTAGGGTTTTGACTGAAACCCTAGCAGTACAAGTATATATAGAACCCATAGGGCATCAGTTTTCGGCCACTTGAAACCCTAGAGAGTTCCATAGCCGAAATTGTTCCTCTCCCCTCTCTCCAATATCATCCTCTTGCTTGTGTGGTGTTTGTAAGTCATTAGCGGAGTGATATTTGTGACTCTAAGCTCCAAGACAAGAAGATTCAAGCCATTGTTGAAGAGGTAATCATCTAGATCTGTTTTCATATGATAATTTCAAAATATGTATGCTAGATCTAGGGTTCATAAGTCTTGGATGAATTTCATGTACAATAGAGAAACCTAGATCCAAGCTTTAGGGTTTGCATGAGCACATAGGATGTTGTTTTGGCTCAAACCCATCAGGGTCCTAATCAGACAACCAGACAGTATGTCTGAGTCATCAACCAAAGTAGATAACTAACACTTGGTTGTTCTAGGCGGTCTTGTGAATTACGTTGCTAGCATGGCTTTATAACTCATGGACGTAAATGAAATGGAAAGCCATATTCATCAAAATCTATGAACATTGGTTGCCTTATATGACTTACACTAGCTAAGGAATGCCCTAGCAGGTGTAGTCAAACATTTGCTTAGACAGTTTATCCGGTAAGGTGATTCTTCTAGATAATTGTCAAATTAGGATCCGTGAGGATCGGTTGGAATTGGGTTGATGGGCTTAGGATAGGTTATATATTTACACATGATATATGTCTTGCGAGAATGATATTTTATCATTAAAATGTTATGGGCTTGAAAACCCTACGTATCTCACCAGGTTTCCGAAACCTGACCCACTCATTTTATTGCATCACAGGTAGTGGAGCCAAAGTTAAATTGGATGGTTAGGATGCTGAGTGGAATAAAGTATAGGTTTGCATTAGTTATTTCAGGACCTTTTTATTTACGCTGTAACGTATGTTCGAATATAAACGAATGACATCCCGGAAGTTTTAATAAAATAACTTTTGTTATTTCAAAATTGTTTATTTAACTGGGAACTTCCGCATTTCAATATTTAAATACGTAAAGAAAATTTTGAAATTGGTTCTGAAAAATAGAGGATATCACATTTTGGTTATGGAAGCATTGTTCATAGCAAGCTCGGGCTCAACAACAGTCCTTGGTTATTGGGAGTTTGGGTTTCGGGGCAGTGTCGTTAGTTTTTCAGGTGTAACTCTAGATCAGCGTAGAATCCAATTTTAGGGCATGTCAGGGTTGGTCTTTAGATTGATCCGACTCGGGGTTTTGGCAACAAATCTAGATAATTTTGGAAGTTTTATTGAGATAGTTACGCGTTTGTGGGATCTATTCAGTTTCAATCGAGGTGTGGGATCTTGTATCGATCGTTCATGAGTATTTTATGCTAACGATTGAGGTTCGTCATTTCATTAAATATGTTGATACCTCACCCTTTGGGTAAGATTTTGAGGAAGAAGGAATGCAGTAAATCCAAGGTTGGTTTTGTGTCTCCCCTTGGGGGTGTACATTGTGGTAGTGCCTCGATTATGGTCACAAGGTAGTGTATGTGGACTGAGTGTGATTGCATGAGAGCACTTGATTCAGATTATTGGCATGGTTCTTATTTGGTTTTTAACTTTTGAATTGGAACAAGAGTACGAATGCCTATCTCATTCTCCGGTTATGTGCGACCATGTTTTCATCTGATTTTGGATTGGTAACAACCTGTGATGTGAAAGGAATTATCTGAGATAAAAGGGTATGACTTTTGTTGTGTTCGGTTAGCGTCGAGGGGGATGTTGATTGGGTTCCTACAAGTCGGTGAATTGGCGGTTGAGTATCTTTAGGCTCATGCGGTGTTGGACGTGAGTCTTCAGGACCGTGATGGAATAGAGGCAAGATTCGCGTAGTACCATGAGCTTAATGTTCTAGTGGCTAGAGGGTGCTACAATGTATCGTGGACCAGTGGTTGTATGATTCATATAGGTGGAACCCGGTAGTCATTTGATTGAAGCTCTTAGGTCTCGGATCGATAGTCTTGTTGGCATGTTTGGGTGTTAGTGCATTGTCGGGAGTCGGGAGACTCAATGACCAGTTTGTTTGTATCGCGTGGACACTAAAAGGTTGTTGGGAGTATTAATTGTACATTTGAAAATGAAAATTTTTTGTCTTAATTTTTGGGATGTTACAGGAGACTCTTCAATTCCTAGATTCTTCACTTGATAAACTTTTCACATTCTAGCTATACACAAAATCAACTAATAAAATCTTACCCATAATGTTGGTCACGTTTATTTACTAATTAAGTGTCGACAACTTAGCGTTACAAAAGCATATGTAATTCACCACTAGAAGCAAGAAGTCGCCACAACCAGCAAAGGGGACTTTCTATGGAGTGTAAGTCCAGTGATCTCACTCATGTCCAGTTCATCCCCTCTCATATCATCTGGCACTGCAAAATCATATTTGTACACAAGATTTGCTAATGCAAGCTCGTTAATAACTATTGCAAACTGAATACCAGGACATCCTCTGCGTCCAGCACCAAATGGAAGGAACTCAAAATGCATCCCTTTATAGTCAATAGAACTTTTCAAAAACCTTTCTGGCCAAAACTTCTCTGCTTCCTCCCAGAGTGAAGGATCTCTTCCTATTGCCCAAGCATTAATAATCACTTGCGTACCCGCTGGAATGTCGTAGCCCATTAATTTGACATATTCTGTTGATTGTCGAGAAATGAGTAGTGGAAGTGGAGTATGCAACCGGAGAGTCTCTTTGATGACAGCATGTAAGTAATGCATTTTTTCCAAATCCTCCTCACTAATCATGGATTTTCCTTGCGCAATTTCAGTGACTTCTTTCTGCAACATTTTCATTACTCTCGGATGTCTTATTAGCTCGCTGATTGTCCACTCTATGGCTGTGGATGTGGTATCAGTTCCAGCAGCAAA